GCGCTTCTCCTGCCAAATCCCATCATCAAAAATGATGGCATCATAAAGAAAAAGGTGGAAGAGCTGGATCTGCTATAAGTAGCAACAAATGTCATTTAATTATGCTAATAGTTAGTTTGAAAAAAAATCGTCTTTGTCATATTGTGGATTTTGGTGTAAATGTAAGAGTGTTGTTGATAATATTTTTGGATAGACAGTAGTGCTGTCAAATCCAAAATAAAAGTTATGTGTATACATAATTTGTATACATGTGTGGATACAAGTTTGTGTATACATGTGTGTGTACTGTGTGTGTGTATATATATATTCATATTTATATATGATTTAAATTGTACATAAATATAATTATATCTTACATATATTTCTTAAATATATACATGTATACAAATATACACAGTACACAAACATGTACTATGTAAACATAAACTTTTATTTTGGATGCGATTAATCATGTTTAATCGATTTGACAGCACTAATAGACAGATATATTGACTACCTTCAGATATATGTATAGATATATTGACTACTGTCTATATATTAACTACTGATTTATACACTACCATCCAAAAGTATGAGGGCAGTAAAAAAAAATTTTGGTGAGTTTTACCGTCACAGGAATAAATTACATTTTAAAACATTAAAATTAAATTAAAATGGAAAACATTTATTTTAAATTGTAATAATATTTCACAATATGACTGTATTTCTGATCAAATAAATGCAGCCTTGGTGAGTATAAGAGACTATTTTCAAAAAATAAAACAAAACGATCTTGCCATCCCCAAACTTTTGGACAATAGCGTATAAATATTGGCATTATATCAGCCAGGTGACCATGTTTTTTTTATTTTAAATAATTATTAATTAAAATTAAAAAAAATATGAATTATTAGTGTGCATACAGTGCATTTAATTAAAGGTCTACATGAAGATTTGGAGTCAAAATCTGAATCAGGAAGTTACTAATAGTGAAATTATTTAAATGTATCCCTACAATTTACTATTAAATTGTAATACTTCTATGAGCTCCGTCTTAATATATTTTGTCCATACAGTGGAATCCAAAAGTTTGAGAGCACATTAAAATCTAATTCAATTGAAGCCTGAAAAACGTTTTAGGATTTGGAAAATTAAAAAAAAAAAAGGAATAAAATTAAATGAAATAAAAAATGTTAGATTCGGATTTTGAGGTCACTAATCAATTTGTGAACTCCTTTGAACAAAAGGTCACAAGTCTAATCTGCTAATAGATAATTTGGCAAAATAGAAGCATTTTCACTGGAGGTCTCAGACCTTTGGACTGCACTGCATATGTACAGATCAATCACAGTATGTCTCTGGTGCCAAAAACAATCTGCTTTCCATTGCATTAAACACTAATCGCGAATACAATTATTTTGCTCAAAACATTCCTTATTCAAGGTTCTGTTTATTCTAGCAAGATAAAAGGTGAATGTAGGAGTCCATGAAATTTCCTGTCGGCAGTTTTTCATTTCTATGCTAATTCGGCTCAGCTGAATGAGAGTTCGAGCTACAGTGGCAAGGCTAAACAGCCTCTGTAAAGATATGTCTGTGGGCAGCGAGCTTCAGCAGACCTTGAGGCAAAGAGTGAAAAGAACGAAAGAGCTCACAAAAGAAACAAACGTAAAGGCTGAGCCGATCACCACCCCCTCCCCAGCCTCTCTCACTCACTCTGCTTTCCTCTAGTCTCTCCTTTGCTTTGTTCATACACACACATACAAACACACGCCCCCACAGACACACACATCCTCGCTCCTCTCGTCTCCCCTTTTTACCATTTTCATCTCTCTATCTGTCATTTTGACAGTGCAGATATTCTGAATCCAGCATTGTCAAAGTGCTCTCGGAGGGCTGGAGCTTTTCATTATACAGAGTAATTAACTGTCAAAGTGAACACCACACCGCGTATTTTGTTTTCTCACAATGCTATGGTGCGTAGATGTATCCAGCAATGATCAAAGAGATCAAGTGCTAATTTGTTGGTTCAATTAATAAGCGAATGTCAAGTTACACGGATGAAATTCAAAAAGTGTGTGATGTTTTCTTATACATGTGCGCACATGCGGTATTATGGCACAAGTAGCATGGTGGTTTTAAGTGAATGGTTGCGAGCATATAAGGTGGGGGGTGGGAGGGTGGTTGGCTGGTTGGTTGCTATGCATCATTCCGACTCCCTTTCAGTCCCACTTGAATGCTGGAGTTGAGTTTCCATGGAAACACTGACCCCTGGGAGTCGATGCTTTTCAAGAGGTGCCTCTATTTACCTAGTGATTCACAGCTCAGGAAGTACAAGAACAAAACACACAAGCATCTTTATATTTATCTTCTAATGCATCATTTTCTGGGCTCATCAGTGCTGCAGTTTTCCTCTCTTGTAATTTTTATAAGAATATCATTTTAATCATATTTTTTGTTTTCTGCTTCCTGTCTCATATTTGTTTTGATATAGGGAAAACGTACCTATTAAGCTCACGTACCCATTAAGCACTCTTCCACATTTGAGCTCAGATTATAAAAAGAAAAAATATTTAAGCCTTTATTTTGGGTAAGTTTCACTACTTATTGTAAAATGAAAAGATTAACGTTTAGACTTTTGCAGATTATAACCTGGAACTTAGATGTGGGAAATAATTACAGTTAGATCCAAAAGATAGTTTTAGCAACATATCGCAGATGCTACAGAACACAGTTAGCTGACTAGCTGTATAAGATTGTGTGCTACGCTAATATATTACTTCACAGGCATTACTGGCTTGTACTTTTACATCCATAACGATGCTTTTCAAGAGGTGCCTCTATTTACCTAGTGATTCACAGCTCAGGAAGTACAAGAACAAAACACACAAGCATCTTTATATTTATCTTCTAATGCATCATTTTCTGGGCTCATCAGTGCTGCAGTTTTCCTCTCTTGTAATTTTTATAAGAATATCATTTTAATCATATTTTTTGTTTTCTGCTTCCTGTCTCATATTTGTTTTGATATAGGGAAAACGTACCTATTAAGCTCACGTACCCATTAAGCACTCTTCCACATTTGAGCTCAGATTATAAAAAGAAAAAATAATGTATTATCATACTTGATGTCTTAACCAATTGATGTGTTTGTTCCTACATACCTCCTGTAATTTCAAGTCAATCAGATCATTGCACGCTAAGATATGAGTCTCCATGTGTTCACACTGTCTGGTGGTCATTTTGAATGATTTTCTATAGATTCTGTCAACTCAAATCTGCAGACTGGCTCTGACCTTTGGCAACTACTGTGAACTTCTCCAAACTGTAAATCTGTGGAAAATCAAGGCAAAAATCATGTAGTGTATTCCAGCCTTAAGAGACTATAGATAGGTTGACATCCATTTAATAAGAGGCTTCATAATGAGGATAGTTTCTGTGTTCATCCCCATGAATGAAATGTTTTATTGGTTTGTTTTATTTGATTTTTGAATTTGTGTTACTTAGCTGAACATGGACTAGTCTAGATGTTGCAATGTGCTTAAATGACATTTCATTATGAATATAACTGATCAAATTGAGTGCTTTGTTGTTTGATTTTTGTGTTCTGTTTTTTGTGATTGACTTTGTACATTAAAAAAAATATTTTTCAATTATTCTTTAAAAAGGTTGTTTAAAATAAACAAGAATTTTTAATAAAACATGATGTGAGCTTAATGGGCACAGGGGTGTGCTTAAAGGGTACAAACATGTACCCATTAAGCACAGCCGGACTTTTTGCATTTAATGATGTATATCTTAATTGAAATGCTTTTGTCATTTAAAATATAATTAAATATTTTTGTGTGAGAGATTAATATTTTATTTTAACATAACTTTTTGTACTGAAACCAATATCTTGTGCACTAAAAATGTCTCAATGTAGATTTTGATGAGCTTAATAGGTACGTTTACCCTACTTCATTGTGTTTTGTATCTCAGATAAACCAGTGTCATTTTAGTATTATTTATACACTATTACAGTATTTTTAATTAAATTTTTATTTTTAGTAATTGTAGCACTTCAACTTAAACATGTTTAATTAATTGCCAAGGCAACATTTTTAATTTTAAGTGTATCTAATATGTATATTTTATCTAAGCTGTATTTAAATTAGTTTAAAATGTAAAAAATCTTTTTAATTGTTTAGTTAATTCCAACACTGAGATAAACAAATTTTTTAAATATTTTTTTGTTGTTGATATTTTACAGTCGACCTAATGTGATACAATCTGGAAAAAATCTAGATAAAATTCTAGAAACAAAAGGTATCTAATCCTTTTATGTTATTTTAATATTTTTTAAGCTCAAAATGGTGATCAGTTACAGCACCAAATACAGTTTCATACATAGAACATGATATGTAAACCGCTTACATAGAAACAAATTCAAATACTTTTAGGAAAGAAACCTTAATGAACACATCTAGTAACAGTGCTTTTAGCAACATTTTAACAAGATCAGTATGTTCTGTATGAAGCTTTGGTAAAAAGTACCAGCATGAGTCACTGCTTGATCAGAGGAGCAAGCCTTTCTAAGTTAGGGAAGAAACCATGGTAACCACTGTTTACACTTTTCTTCCCTCCATCAATGAGGAAATTGTTTTTCGCAGACATTGTCTAAAACTTACTCTCTGAGAACACTACGCTGCTGTGCTGCTAAATTACTAGATTAAACTCATCCGTTAGATGTAACTTGATTTGTGGTTTAATTGATAAAAAGGCAACTTGAAACAAAGTAATTGCTGTGAAAAGTCCAGGCTTTGGTTTTCAATACATATGAGTGTAGTTGCTGCAAAAATAGTTGTTTGTGTTCAAAGACACTGGTTGTGTTGCCACTAATGGGCTTCCAGTGGATAAAAAACATTCTTCCTACTTGTAAATCCCAAAACTGAAAAAAAAAATGGTGCATGCTTAACTAGCACAAGAGTGCTGGAGATTGACTCATTAACTGACACCGGCCTCTCTGCTTATGTTCTCTTCAGGCCAAGCTCATAGTGCCCAACAGCACGGCAGGGCTGATCATCGGCAAGGGCGGAGCCACGGTGAAGGCCGTCATGGAGCAGTCCGGCGCCTGGGTCCAGCTCTCACAGAAACCCGAAGGCATCAACCTGCAGGAACGCGTTGTCACCATCAGCGGGGAGCCTGAGCAGAACCGCAAGGCTGTGGAGATCATTGTGCAGAAGATCCAGGAGGACCCACAGAGCAGCAGCTGTCTGAACATCAGCTACTCCAACATCTCCGGCCCTGTGGCCAACTCCAACCCCACCGGTTCCCCATACGCCAACTCGGCAGAGGTGATGCCGGCTGCTGCGGCGGCGGCGGCAGCCACGGCCTCCAGTCTCCTAGGGCAGGCCAGTCTGGCTGGAGTGGGCGCTTTCCCCACCACCATGTCCAGCTTCTCAGGAAACGACCTGCTGACTATCACATCCGCGCTGAACACGTTAGCCAGCTACGGATACAATACCAACTCCCTGGGCCTAGGGCTCAACCCTGCGGCTGCCTCAGGAGTCCTCGCCGCTGTGGCCGCAAGCGCCAACCCCGCCGCAGCCGCGGCCGCCAACCTGCTAGCCTCCTACGCCAGCGATGCGTCCACCAGCTCTGGCCACCCGGCGACCAGCCTGGGAGGCTTCACGCTAGGATCGCTCGCCGCCGCCACCGGAGCCACCAACGGCTACCTGAGCGCCGCTTCCCCGCTGATGGCGAGCTCCCTGCTGGCCACCGAGAAGCTGACCGAGGGTCACAAAGATGTGGTGGAGATTGCGGTGCCGGAGAACTTGGTGGGTGCCATTTTGGGGAAGGGAGGCAAAACGCTTGTGGAGTACCAAGAGCTGACGGGAGCCCGCATTCAGATCTCCAAAAAGGGAGAGTTTGTTCCTGGCACCAGAAACCGTAAAGTTACCATTACCGGATCACCAGCCGCCACACAGGCAGCCCAATATCTTATCAGCCAGCGAATCACATACGAGCAGGGTGTGAGGGCCACCAATCCGCAGAAGGTGGGCTAAAAACAGGGAGTATGAAAAAAGGAGAGAAAAAGAGTGGGGGATGGGGAAGATACAGAGAAAGATGGAGGGCACGAATATCGACGGAAATCAGCCACATTCTTTGTGGGAAAAATCTCAGTATTAAAAAAAATGGAAAGAATTCCTTCATAGGCCAGGACGCAAAACGCACCTGAATCTTTCGTACCAGAGCTCCTAGAAAATTGTGGCATTCGTCTATGGGATTTGAGGTCTGGTGTTTATACAAATACTATTATCATTATTATTATTACTACTACTATTATTATTATTACAAATTATCATCACCATCAACGTTATTTATTAATATGATTTCACCCATAAGGATTGAGGTATTTCCTTTTGTTTTTCTTAATCTGTGAATTCAGGTTGACATGAATGTAAAGATAATATTTTGGATTTAGTTTTTTATTTAAGTAGATTGAATCGTGTGTCCATGTAATATATGTCTTATTTAACGTCCAGTGATAACTGCACCGTCGGCACCAACAGAGAGAATAGGGGCAGATGTACTGTATAGTGATATTAACACAAAACACACACATATACACACACACACTCAGCAAACTATTACCAGATTTAAATGCTGAAAATGCAACTAAACATACGCAGACTTGAAATCACAGTGGGACTAGACAATTTATTCACATATCTACTGAATGAGAATGTAGGTCTTTGCACAAGTCCAAGGGAGTGTCAGAATACGACTTTATATGAAAGCCAATCCTTTTATGTAACATCCCAAAACATATCCCCATCTTTACTCTATGCTGCCCCTCTGCAGCGCGAGAGATTGTGCACTTTGAGCCACTGCAGTCGAATATCTGCGCAAATCTACGGGAAAATTTGCGTAGATATTCCATATCAAATCAGAAATTGGCCCTCACAGCTCTGAGGCATTTCATGAACAACATACTACTGAATGACTATGAACAAATTCTGATCTGCACAGGCTGCTCGGTAACATGGAAGTCCCAGGTTGTCTTTTCTATCACAGTTTTTTTTAATATATGTCCCGAGTCACCAGTGAATCAAATTTTAGAACTGGGTGCCCGTGTGAAGATCATCCTGTGCAGATCTGAAATACCCATGTGCGACGTATGTGCTGCTAATAAGGTCCCATTACCTTTTTGTTTTGAATCTGAGTACACTGAATTTTGTCTTAATGCACTGTGAAGTGTGGAGGCCGTGATGGAAGGCCAAAAAAAGTCAGGGTTTCTATATCGTTATCGCATCAATGCATCACCATGATGGAATGTACTCATGTGGAACGTCTCATATTTATAACAACCTACGTGGAGTCAAGGTATCGCTTACCGTAGGGCGGAAAAGAAGCCTGGATGGTTTGTTAGGTTGAGGTCAGACTCTTCGGACCAGTTTTTTTGCATCATGTTGCAGTATCCAACCATATCTTTCCAAGTGTGCACTAACTACCCGCCAGCTGACCGTGTATATTTATCGTGAAGGGGCAGAGGATGGTATATTCTATACGTTTAAACTCTAGGTGTCTTCCAAAATGATTCTGTGTCTAAACGACAACATATTGATTCTCTACCGGCTGGAATGAGCTTAAAAATACCAAACTGTTCCTTATTATCAAGACTTCAGCACAGAGAGCATTTCCCAAAGAAGAATTAGACCAACAGAAAAAGACAGAGTTGGTGCTCTCTCTCTCAATGACTAAAGTTATGATTCTTTCCTCTCCTTTGCTATTGGAGCACCAGGGAGAGTAAATCTGAGCCGATTGGTAAGGAGGCTTCTTTATTCTCATCTAAAAACCATCACCTCCCCTCACCTCTTCTCAACACCCCTTTTTACCTTTGTGCACCCCCATTCTGACACATCAACCCAGAGACCCCCTTTTCTCTCACATCTCTCCATGGGTGGCAATGTCTGGTGTAACAGTGCATGTCTGCTTGCCCTTTCACGAAACAATGACGATGCTAAAGGGAAGACGCGCCTACAGAGTAGAACTAGAAGCTTGCAGTAGATCACACTTGCGCACATCACACTTTCCAAAAGGGACTTAATACGAGCCATCCATGTGTTTGTATGGTGTGCATGTGTGTGTAAATGCGTGTAAAGGTGATAAGTTTGGATAAATATGAATGTGTATAGCAGTTGCGCCCAAGGTGAGGAGGTCTGAAACAGCAATGACTCCAGGTACTCTACTATAAGATAGTTGCACGTTTTTGTTGAGGTGCAATTTTCAAACAATAGGACGTAATAATTCAGATTTGAAGATCAAGACAAGGAAGCGATGGCAATCGAGTGCCTCCGCATTTTAGAGTGCATCTGTGCATTCGGTTTTACCCATGATGCAGTACTTCATCAGACACTTCAGAGCTTGAACGAGTCTCAGTAGATCCCCCAGATAAATTTTTTTCTTGTTTAAAAAACGGTTACATCACCGTTTGATTTAAGACACATTAAAAGCAAGATATTACTGTGACAATTCAATGTGAAATATATAAAAAGGTGCCAACATAGTGTCAAGGAGCAGCTTTCTGTTTTGTTGTTTTTGTATTCAGTACATATGGGAGTTTTTTTTTTTTCGTTTAGTTTTTTTGTTAATAACTGGGAAAATAGATCAAATGTGATGAGTACTGAAAGCAATATACGTAGTAGCATGTCGTCATGTCTTGTCCTTTTCTGTCTGTGTAGGAGCTTTGGATTTACCTAGATGTTAAGTAGATTTGCATATACTATTTTTTAAGTTGTGAAGATGCTGCTATTGAATAAGTGATGTACTAAAATTTAAGATTAAAAAAACATATCTGGTCTGTCATTTAGCAGGATGTGGTAGTTGTAAGAGGTGTAACTAAATGTTACATTGCTAATGAAATAATTGCTATAGCAGTTGATTAAATAAACCTGTGCCAAAATAGATCTTTACAGATTTAAATGTGATTTAAACACCATTAGTTAAGAGCAGACATACTTTTGTAATTTAAAAAAAGAAAAAAAAATGTGAAAAGTGCCAAACAAGCCACAGTTAAGGTATAACTAGCGGGGGTAAAGTGACTAGAGAAGCAAAAAATAGACATTAGCACTATAAGGTTGAGAGTTTTCTGCCCCCTTAAACTAACTAGTCCTTGTTAAAAAAGAAGGGTGGGATTCATCTCGTAGGCCAAACAAAAACAGGGTGCCATGTGGACATTAACACACATCCCCTGGGGCTAGAAGACTGCCGAGTTAGCTTAGCATGGTTAAAGTTTTATAAGTTATCAGCATTCTTAAGTCAGCCTTTTATAGTTCTGAAAATGTATTTTGTGAAGATAGATGTTATCTTTTTTGCACGTTGATATTGCATGATACCAAGTGAAGCGTGGATTTAAAAAAAAAAGTGAAGACAAAAAATCGTACAAAAAAAAAAACAATTAGGCAATGTGCATTCATTTTGAGGACAAATCTTTGCATGGCAACAACAGTTTGAGCTATTATATTAGCTTTTTCACATTTTTACCTTTTTATTTTTAGTTTTGCTAAGACCAAGATGGAGTTTTTGTTGTCCATGAAAACTAGGCCACAGAAACCAAATCCATTCATAGTCATGGTCATATTCAGCATCATTACTATAGCACTCATTTTGTACAGACTTATCAATGTTTTGTGATAATTTCTAAGAAAAACAATGGGAAAAGTTGGGTAACGGAGGGTTAATTTAGCGACATTAACATGGCCGTGAATGTATTCAGCACTACATAAGTTTGCATATCACTCTTTCGATCATGATTTTAGGGCCTGTGTTTGCTGTGTCAGTACTAACATCATTAGGCTTCTGTTCTTTAGCTTGTTCTGCCATCACTGCACATTAAGCTTGACCCATTCTCGCGAGAATATGCACTTTATACTTCTCTTACGCTTCACGCCACCCCAGATAAGAGCAGCCCTGTTTCCGCTAAACTGCTTGAATCCTTTACCTCAGACCTCCACGAATAAAGGAAAGGGGCGGGACTTCCCGATGACGTCATAACGCAATGTTTGCATGAGAAAGGATTGGCCAGATGTTCGAAGCTGACCAAAAACAGCAGAATAGTTTTTACAGAAATCGTTATTTTGACAGTGTTTTTTATTATTACTATTAATGATAATAAGTGCCAAAAAGGGCATGTCTGATATCATGAATATTGTTTTTTTCTCTCTCTCAATTTCAGCGTCAAAATTGCACTGTGCTTAGTCATGGTTGCTATGTAGAGGAGACGGCGCAGTTGTTTTTTTGTGCAGATGAATGCAAACTTATGGTTTAGCTGATGTCGAGAAGGTCATTGCTTTTATGTGGGCGCACGGCTAGAGCTCGTCGCTCTTCCCAAACCCCACACGCCCCCCAGTCCAACCCCCCACCCCACGCCATCAGAAGATGACAACCCGGGGTCACTCTTGAGCTCGTACCCATTATAGCACCAGCAATGTTAGAATACATTTGTCATATCACTGTTCTGTTCTCTTTTTTTATTTTCCTGTTTTTATTTGTACGACACTCTCTAACCTAGACCAAGTATAACAAAAATGTCATTCATATGTATCCTGTTTACTCTCCCTTTTTCTCCCTTTTGCACTTTCACTGCTCCCCTTTTTTCCAACCACTCCCCACTCTTCTGCCGACCTCCCCCTCACACCCTCCCAGACTTTCTCCTGAGTGCCAAACAAAAACAGTACCATTCCAAACTTTTTGAGTTCTCTTGTATGTTGGACATCCATTGGACGCACCCATGAAGCCAGCATGTTTCTCCATAACATGATGTCAGTCATGACGCCTCAACATTACCCAAAAAGCGAGCAGTAAAAGCAAGACCTGGATTAACACGGTAAAAACACGGCTGGCTACCTCTCATAAACTGCTTTTCCTAATTCTGTCATCTCTTCAACCTCCAGGACATCACTGATTGTGTGCCATAATGCTGGGGGGCACTGTCACTCTCCTCACCCCCAAGTCTCTCCATTTGATTTTCTTGATGGAAAACATTATGCGCAAGCAAAGAAAAAAAAAATCCATTTTAATGGCAGGTTTCTTTCTGTTCCTTTAGCATAAAAACATGCTCAAAAAAGCTGAGGAGTGTGTAAACGTCAGCCGTGCAGCCACAGTTTCATCAAATAACACATTGCAAGTTCGTGCCTGAAACC